AAAAAAAAAAAAAAAAAATTAAAATTTCAAAAGGGCTGGGGATATAGCTCAGTATGAAGGCCACAGGTTCAATTCCCGGTATTGCCTCCCCTCCACACAAAATCCCAGCACATCCGGGGTCTCAGCACACTCATGTCCTCTAGCTCCTCTGCCCTCCACAGTGAGAGGAGCAGACCCACAGCACCCACCCCGCCCGAGGCCATGTCAGAACGGCAGGGCCACCTGCAGCAACCAGAAGGGACGTGTCCCCGCCTCAGCGCATGCGCAGTCGGCCCTCGGCCCCGCCCTCCCCACCTCAGCACATGCGCAGTCGGCCCTCGGCCCTGTGTACCTGGTGGGTTCGTCGAAGAACATGACCGGGGGGTTGTTGACCAGCTCCAGTGCGATAGCCAGGCGCTTCCGCTGGCCGCCGGACAGGCTCCCGGTCCGCGTGTGGGCGCAGGACAGCAGGCCCAGTGCCGTCAGGATCTCCTTTACCTGAGGACAGCAGAGCCAGCGTCCCCGTCAGGACCGTCCTCCCAACCTCGCCAACCAGGCCGCCGCCCCGCCGGCCACTCCCCGTGCCCCGGGGGCCTGCACGCGCGGCCCTCGCAAGCCCGAGGTCCTGACCAAGCCGCAGTCGGGGAGTTGGTCTTGTTCCGGCCGGCGACCTGCACTGGGCACGGACAGCACCTCTAATCCTGGCCCAGCGCTCCACACAGGAGGCGTCGGTAAGCAGCTGACCCAGGGATGGCCAGTGACACGAGCGACACGAGTGGGGGGGACAATCCTGGTTCTTTTCTCTGCTTTTCTCTTCCCGCTCCTTCCTTCCTTCCATTCGTTCTTCCTTTGCAGTACAAGAGCCTGAACCCAGGGTCTTCGCATTGGCTGAAGTCCCAGCCCTTTTCATTTTGATGAAGGGTCTTGCTAAGTTGTCCAGACCGGCCTTAAACTTGCAATCCTCCTGCCTCAGCCTCCCCGAGTGCTGAGATTACAGGCGTGCGCCACCACACCCGGCTCCCGTCAGGATTCTGACCGATACAGAGGGCCTCTGGGAGCATTAAATGAAACAGCGTGTGCAAACTGGCCAAGCAGGTGTGCTCTCGGTGCACACCGCCGACGCTGTCCTCACCCGCGGGACCCTGGGGACTGCAGTCCCTGCAGGCTCACGACCAAGTGACCCAGGCCTGCTGGAGGGCCACCTTGCTGCGTGGACACAGGAAAGGGCCTTGGGGATGGTGCCGGCGAGGAAGAGACCTGCAGGCTGACAATGGCAGGGCCAGCCCAGCCCTGGCCGCGGGTGTGGGCCCGTCAGACAGGGCCACTGCGCACGGAGCTGCCCTGCTAGCCCAGAGGGTGCATTCTGGAAACGGGGCTGTTGGGGGGCCAGCCGTCCCCCTCCGGAGCAGGTCTGAGGGAGATGGAGGCCAGGTCAGCCACCGCCTCCCCATCAGGGCCCTCCCTGGGGACAGGGCCTCGGATCTCCCTGCAGAATCCACCTGGCCTCGATCCCGCCCCTGGCAGCCAACGCAGGCCCCTGGGGGCCACGGCCAGCAGACCCCAGGCCAGCAGCTTCTCCAGAGAGATGAGCTCACCGAACAGAGGAGGGACTCACAGAGTAAAAATTTCCACTTGGAACTTGTGCATTATTTAAGCATGGTCAGGACAAAACGCAGCTTAGGGGTCAGAAACAGCCAGGGCACTGGGGCTGGACGGGCCAGGACCAGGTACAGTGTGGGGTCAGAGACCTGGGTTCAAATCCTCCTGCAGCCTCAACCCAGCACCACCACCTCCTCAAACACCTAGCGAGCGCCCCAGGAGCACTTCCAGAAAGGCCAGCAGGGGGCGGTGGCGGGCAGGGCCTGCTCTGTGTGCTTTCTCTCTGTACCTGGTTTTCCCAGCACCAGGCTTGCACGGTCTCCCCTGAGGACTGGCCGTGGCAGCAAGGTGACTCCGCGGTCCCAGCTCAATCCACAAACACAGGGCATCCCTGACCTACCCATGCCCTGGGGCAGGGACGCTGGGGATGAGGCCACTGCGGATCCCTGTCCTTCTGTTGTCTGTCCTTCCTCCACACCCGCAAGGCCTGGCCTGCATTCTCCAGCGTGGTCACAGAAGTGACACTGTCCAGGTTGGTTCTGTCTTAAAGGCCGTTCAGAGCTTGTTTGTTTCTATACAATTCCCTACACAAACAGAAAACTCCATGGCCCCCTACTTGGAGCCATCCGGGGCCTTCCTGTCTGTGACAGGTGGCGCAGCCCCGCCCAGCTCCCAGGGACCTTCCTCCCGGGGAAGCGGCCTCACACTGAGGGGTCCCCACGGCTCGGGCACCTTTTCCGGGCAGCAACAGCACATCCTGCCGCCTGTCTGTGCACCCTCTCCCTCATGCTTCTAGGAGGAATTAGCACCTCTCCGGTTACTCCTGGGGGCCCAGGCACTGCTTCGTCCTGAGGACCGTCCTGGAGGCAGGTCCTTGGGAAGGCGGGGCCGGGCGGACCCCCTCACCATGGCCGTGTGCTGGGTGGTGCACCTGTCCCCACGGCGGGCAGCCAGGAAGGAGCTTCCCAGCTCTTCAACCCCTCTCTACGCTCGCAGTGTGCAGCTCCAACTGAGAAGTGTCATCCCAGGCACCCCACGCCCGACTGTCATGCACCAGGCCTTGGATCCCGAGTGACGGATGGCAGCTTGGGGTACAGAGGGGTCCCGGGGGCAGGGCAGGCGGGGCTCCCCCGGCACTGAGCTCCGCTTCTCTGGGACTCTCCGTGTAGCTCTGCTCTGTCATGCCACGTGAGGGCCCAGTTTGGGTGGGGAGGGCCGGGCCTGCCCACCCGAGGACCAGGCCGTTTCCACGGCTCCAAGCTGGTGGTGGGAGCGGCTGCAGGTGAACAGTTCGGATCCCGTGGAGGACAGAGATGGGAAGCCAGGCACGAGGGGACCCTGGGGCCAGCACGGTCCACTGCCGCCTGGTAGCAGCCAATTCCGATTCTCCAAATGGAAAGAGCTTCGCCCTGAGGTGCCGTGGTCCTTCGGTGGAGCTGACCCCAGACAGGGCCGGGCAGGGCACTTTCACCCCAGCAAGGCCCGTCCGGACGGCCAGGTCGTTGCAGCCTCCGGGCAGACCATGCGCCGACACCTCCGTTCTCGCCGTTCCCTCGTGCCCAGTGTATGGGGCTTCCTTTGATGTCCACTGCATGAGTCAGCACAGGCTGCTGTGACAAAGAGCCCCGCTCGGGGCGACACCATGGAGAGGCCTGGCGCAGGTTCTGGGGGCTGAGGGCTGTGATGAGAGTGCTGGCGGGGCCAGGCCCTCTGGCCACCTCTCTCCCAGGCTCCAGATGGGGTCTTCTCTCTGCACCCTCGTGGGGTCCGCCCCCTGTGCACGGCCTGACCCAAGCACACCTGCTCGTCACCTGAACCCCCCTCAGAAAGACCCATCTCCACAGAAGGGAGAAGCACAGTCAGGTCTACAGCCCGGTGCCTCCGCCCCCGTAAGGGCCAGACACATTCGTGACCCCCGCACTTTCCACATCGCCTCTGCTCTGAGCTTGAGTAGTCCAAGCGCTTGTCTTCCATCTCAGAATAAGAGATCCACGTGAAACGTCTTCGTGGAGCAGCGAGGAGCCTGGGCGTGAGCTGCTGGCACCTGCACTGTGCATCTCTCCCTTTGCAGGTGCAGAGAGGAAGGAGCCCTAAAGTTGCCCAGTGTTTTTTTTTTTCCATGTGAACCGAATTTAAATTGGCTTACTATTAACTGGTCTCTGCAACAGGGAAGGAGAAAATAGCATGAACAGCAGAGCGCTGAATATGTTCTCGGCAGGCGTCACTGCCCTGCTGACTCCGGCATCGGACACCAAGCCCACCCACCGCAGCAGGGACCTGTCCCTTGAGGTCAAGGCCCTGAGAGGGTGTCCGCAGCAAAGCTATTATATAAGTGGGGTTTCAGCAAATTCATCCTACACTGAAAACCCCAGCAGTGCTAGCTGGAAAGTGAAGAGGAGGCCAGCCGGGCTTCCCCGGGACCTGGTGTTCACGGACTGGTCACCCCCATCATGCTTTCTGGGGCTCCCGCTGGGGCTGCTGCCTGCACCCTCCCTGCTCCTTGGTAATTTAAGGAACCAGAAAAAGTGATAAATAGAAGGAGAACATCCCACTCATGCTGGAAGCCTGTTTATTTTCTTTTTAAAAGGCTGGTTAATAACATGCAAGAACCAAATTTTTTTTACCCGTGTGTGTGGGTGGAAGGTGGTTATTTTTAAACCAGTGACTAATCATCTTCATCGTTCGTGTTGAATAAAACACAGTTTAATCTCAAGTGCGCGTGCTGTGATCTAAAAGTATCACAAGGGTTTACATTTTTAAACATTCCTTACAGTAAGAGACACACTGCCATGAATCCCCCTCTCTTTGAACACACTCGTCCCACCGCCCTTGTCACTGTCTGCAGCGGCTCTGGAGTCCTCTTTCCTGAGTGTCTTCGGTTCCTCTGTCCTGGCTGCCTCGCTGTTCTGAGTGGATTCAGAACACTTCTCTTTAACGGTCACTTTGACTTTGGGGAGGAGCCAGAAGTCACACAGTGCCAGATCCAGTGACTAAGGTGGGTGAGGGCACAGTGTTGTGCTTTTATGAGCTGCCTTTCCATTAGGTGGCAGTGGGCAGCAGTGGTCACTGTATTTTTGATCATCTTCGTGAAGCCACTCAGGAAAGAGGACTCCAGAGCTGCTGCAGACAGTGGCCGGGACAACGGGTGCTGGAAGTATACTGGAAGTCAGGGGAGGATCTGGAGGATTCACGGTAACGTCTTTTACTATAATAATTTTTAATCTGAACATCTACTATGTATTTCGATCCCACCTCGTGTTAAATACTGAGGGGGCAGCACACATGTCTCCCCAAGGCTGGGGTCTGCAGGCCACCTAAACATGAGGGTGTGGCCTGACAGTCAGAGCTGTGTCCCTGGGACTCTGCAACCTGTGGCGTGCACCGAGATGACCCTGCCCCGCACACGGAAGGAGAGGCAAGAACAAACTGGCAAGCAGAAGCGGTCCTGAAAGCCTCCATGCCCTTCCCAGATGGAGGTCACGGCCTCTGGACAGGTGGGGCCCCGAGCGACACACTCACCATCTCCTTTCTGCCCTCATCCTTCTCCTGCAGCTTCAGGTGCGCAGACACCTGCGGGGACAAGGACAACAGTGGACAGTCGTCAAGGCGTGAGCCTCACAAGCCACAGCGTGGGCCAGCGACCTGACAGCTCCAGGAAACGCAGGCGGTCCTGGCGTGACCCCTGTGGCTCAGCAGAGGCAGGCTTGGTCACGGAGAGCGGCCGGGTCCAAACCCGCTTCTGCCGTCTCAGGTGACTGCGCTGCCACACCCATGAGAGGAGTCGATGTGCGCCCCACAGAGAGGAGGGACCCCAGGCGCCTGGCCTTGAACACGCGCCTGGCTGGGACAGCAGCGCATATTTAGGAGCTGTGCGCGCCTCCGGGAGCCGCTAACTATCCATAGTGGGACGCTCAACGCTGCAGCAGCTAGGAGGTGCAGCGCACCAGGAAGCCGGGTCTTGTTTGCTTCCCTTGCTGAGATGCTCTTTATGGGGGAAGCACTGGGACAGCTCGCCCAGTGAAAGTCTGAGCAGGAGTCTGTGCCCACACATCTGGGTACTGCTCTCCCAGTGCCCGTGGCCTGGGGCCCACTGGGTGCCTCAGTTCCTCCCTCCCCTGCCTCCTGGATGGGGGACACTGCCGAGACAGGCAATGAGACACGGAGAGGCAGGCAGGTGTGAAGAGGCCACAGGCCCCAAAGTGGTCAGGGCAGGACCTGACACGGCTGCAGCGCAGCTGTCTGTCACGTGACACTGCGTGTCACTTCAGTCTGCCTGGTGGCTGTGAGGGGCAGAAGCAGCACATGAAAACACACAGCCGTGTCTGGCGTGTGGTCCGTACACGTGGCCAGTGTCATTGCTACCCAGGAGGCAGGACCTTGCGTGGATAAAGGTGCCACAGGCTCAGGTGAAAAGCAGTTCACAAGGGCATCCTGAAATTCCCTAACTCAGAATCTAGTTGAACTTTACTCAGGAAATAGACATATTCCACAGTACCGTCTGGTGACAAAACGGCAAGGACACAGGCGTCACCACCTGTGTCTGCAAAGGAATGCAGCGATCGAGCTGGAAAGTCAAAGTGATGGCTCCAAGCAGGGAACCACTCCATCCATCCTAGCCCCACTGAGAGTTGACCTTGGGTCACCCAGGATGCAGATGGGATTCAGGGACCAGCAGGTGATGTATGAAGACAGTGTTTACCGAATATATAGACCAGTAAGTGTTGGACAGAAGGAAATCCCACTACAGGCTGCTTATCCTGGTCTATCTGCAAAGAGCCCCAGTCCCCGGTACCCACCAGAATGCCCATGCGGGGTTCCGCGCTGCACTGCTTGGGTGGAGAAGTGTGCTCACCCTATAGAGCACTCGCTACTGGGACAATGAATGAGATCAGCCCCGCTGAGCCCTCTCTTTCTGTTCCCTGCAAAGCAGGTGAGAGAGCAGATCTCACTGTCTGAAACGACAACCTGCTTGTCTCTGTGGAGCCAGGAATCCCTGGGAATTCTGTGAAATGCTCGTGGCTGCTGCTCTCTGACATCCCGGGGAGGAGGCTTCCCCCGGCGCAAGTCAGGAGCGCAGGTAAACCCCTGTCTGGGAGGGGCAGCACTGCACACACCCGTCTGCTAACCCAGCAGCAGCCCAGACTCCACAGCCCCGTGCCGCCTGGAGAGACACCACCTTGCAGGGGGCTTCGTGCAACGGACGAGGAGGAAGTGGAAGACAGGGAGCCCGCACTAAGTCAGCCTGAGCGGGGGATGATCTGAGCAGGAGGGATTCTGGCGGCTTCCCCTGCCCGCAGTATCAGGACGGGCTCTGCTGCCACGGGCTGGCCTTCGTAGCCAGAGTCCCACCCAGCAGGGTCACTCTGGAAGTGCACTGTCAGCTGCTGCCTGGACTCTTCTGTGGCCCCCAAGGGTAAGCGTGTTTGTGACCGCCCTCAACACTGGATTTACCTATGGAGGACCCAAGTGAAGACTCTATGGGAAGACCGATGGGGTGCGGAAAGAACTGGTGGAGTTGTCACAAGGACCTGTGCTGACGAGCACGGAGTGTCTGTGGGATCCTACTCCACCTTCCACGGCACCCTATGCCCCCTTCCAACCAACGCTGCACCAGCTGGCTCCAAGTCCCCACGGGACCGGGGGCAGCCTGACACCCTGGCTCACAGCATGGCTGCTGCAGGCTCCGTCTCACACCTGCTTTCCTGAGGCCACACGCTGATGACTGCAAGGGGACCCAGCCGGGGCTCAGCCCGACTGGCTGCATGCCTGCATCTACCGGCAGGAGCATCAGAGGATGAGTCTCTCCGGGTCTTCACTGGGACAGCTGATGGAAGGAAAGTCCCTCCACTGGAGGAGGAGGGCTGGTTGCTATGGAAATGATAGCCTAGGTCAGGGAGCAGTGATCTAGAGACCTGACCATGACTGACAAGAAAGGTGCACTGATTCGTGGCCTGGGGGCTATTTTCTGTGGCTGCACAGTGGGCCTCGGGCTGGCAGTGGGCTACGGGGCGGGCTCCGGGGTGGAGCTGCACGGCAGGGCAGGACTCACCATCATGGCCTCCTGCACGGTGAGGTGCGGCAGCAGCATGTCGTCCTGCATGATGTAGCAGGACACCTTCCGGAAGCAGCGCAGGTCCCGGGGCAGCCCGTTGATGAGGACGGAACCTTTCATGCCGCTCTCCCTGCGAGGCAAGGACAGCAGAGGCCATCAGCACTGCCCCTCCGGCCTCGCCGCTGGGCTGGGAGAGTGGCGCGTGCGAGCTCCAGGGCCAGCGCAGCTCCACCAGGGCAAGGGGCTGCACTTTCCCCGCCCCTTGACACAGGGCTACTGTGAAACTCTCCCCTGGCTCGGCAGGGCTGAAAGATCTGCGGCTGCTTCCTCTGCCTCCTCGTCCCCGTGCGTGTTTGTGCATGTGTGTGCGATGTGCACACACGTGTGTTACTGGGGATGGAGCCCCAGCCCTATTTTTTATTTTGAGACAGGGTCTCTCTAAGTTGCTCAGTGGCCCAAGCTGGGCTTGAATTTGTGATCCCCCCGCCTGCGCCTCCCAGAGCGCTGGGATGACAGGTGTGCACCACCCGTCCGGCTAATAGATTCTCACGATGAAGCTTCATGTATAAATTAAGGAGGGAAAGCGGTTAGTGACCGTGACGGGTAATACAACAGAATAGGAGCACTGTGCCGTTCTAAAGCCACCTGTGTCTGCAGTCTCCCCCCGTGGGGCCATTATGAAGTAAAAGGTCACACCGGTGGACCTGAGAACCTGGGAGGCTCCAAGGGTCCGACAGGCAGGCGGTGTGGACGGCGGACAGGCTGCACAAGGGATGACTTTCGTCCTTGGTGGGACAGGGGCTGCGCGGAGCTCATCACAATTCTCAGAAAGGTGTGAGCTCAACACTTACAAGTTACGTATTTCTGCAGTTTTCCACTTAATGTTTCTGGGCTGTGGTTGACTGCGGTTATCTGAAACTGGGGGAAGCGAAACCGTGGGTGAGAGGGTTCCTCATGGCTACTGTTGGCTAGGGTTAGCGCGCAGAACCGAAGAGAAGTGAGAACTGGCTTTAGCCGGGCGTGGTGGGGTAGGCCTATAATCCTAGCACTCTGGGAAGCTGAGGCAGGAGGATCTAAGGTCGAGCCCAGCCTGGGCAACTGAGCAAGAGCCATCTCAAAATAAAAGAATTTTTAAAAGGGCCAAGAATGCAGCTCAGTGTGAAGACCCTTGTTTCAGGTCACACAGGGGCCGATGACCACTAAAGTTTGTTTTGTTTGTTTGTTTTTGAGACAGGGTCTTGCTATGCAGTGCAGTCTGGCTTTGAACTCACAGCAATCCTCCTGCCTCAGCTTCCGAAGTGCTATAGGCATGCACCACTATGCTTACTATAAAGTTCTGCCCAACAAAGGAAAACCACAACCCAGCCCGGCTAAGCAACCCCCTCTGTCTCTTCTGAAAAAGCCTTGCCTTATTTTCTAGCACTTCTTGCTGGTTGTCCCAGCTCTTCCTGCCTTTCTTCTCCCTGACCTTGACCTTCCTACTTCCTAGGCTGGCCAGCCCAGGGCTGAGCTCGCTCAGGGGACACTGTCTCATTTGTCCTAAAGGTTCAGCACCTCCCTCGGGCTTCCCCAGAGGCCCCCACTGGACAGGAGGTCGCCCTGTTCAAGCACACAGCGGTGCCCTCACCCCTGCGCCCCTGCTCACCTGTATCCGGCCAGGATGTTCATGAGTGTGGACTTCCCGGCCCCCGAGGGGCCCATGATGGCCACCAGCTCCCCACTGCTGAACTTCCCCGAGATCCCTTTCAGGAGGGTCTTGTATCCTGCAAAAGGCAGACCAAGTCCACTCGGGGACTGGGACAGGACTCTCCTCTTCGTGTCCCTCCTGCCTCCCGGAGTGCCAGGGTACAGCAGCTGGGCCCAGCGCCCCTGTCTGCTTCCCCATGCCGTGGCACGGGTTACAGCGTGATAATGCACAGAGGCACGTGTGTAGTGCTGGGGCACTCACCAAGCACTTCCCACACAGGGTCAGGGACTCACTGTAGGACCCGCTGTCCCCCATGACAGCACACGTCTGCCTGTATTAATTAAACCAGCCCCCCTGGCATTTCATTGACCAATTACTTATTTATACTTATACATTTACATAAATTATTTATACACAATTTACTTATAAATAACTGCTTTATAATTAACTAATCAATACATTATTAATTCCTTGATTAATAATGAAAAGCATTTACAATCACATCAGATGGCTTTGGAATTTCTGCCAAGTCTCTCCTGTGATACTTCCGGTGGACTGTGAAGATGCGCTAGGAAGATAAACGGGAAGCAACTGGATTCATAAACTCCGACCCAGGAGGTCGCTTCGGCAGAGGAGCCAGAATGCATCATGGGAATGAGTCATGTTTCCAGGGCCCTCAAGAGACAAGGGACACGTGGGGTACTTGCCCATGGCTGACTACCGACCCTTTCCCGGGCCCCACGGGCACCCAAGCCAGCGTGTTTGCCGGGCCCAGTCCATGGGTTTTCTCCCCACTGACTTCCAGTCCCTCACAGATGGGACATTAACATTCCAATCTGTCACCAGCTGCCACTTAACTTGGATGGAGGTCCCTGGGGCCTTGTTTAAGCCAGACAGAGAAAAGAGGAAGTCAGGAAGCGGTGGCCCTGCAGCTAGTTCTCTGGGCAGAGGACGATGACTGTCACCCCAGCAGGGAAAGGATTGTCAGCCCCACGGGAAAAGGGGCCCAGGACCTGCGGGCGGGCGTGGAAGGGCAGCTCCCCTGTGAGGACCGGTCAGTGAGCACCAGTCAGTGAGCACCAGGTGCAGGGACAGCCAGAGGTCGCAGGGGGGCGGGCTGGGCCTGCGTCCTGCTCAGCAGGGTCTGTGTATCGGACAGACAGACATACAGAAGGGCTGGGAACCACAGGACCCTGTCTTTCCCAGGGCCAGACTCCCAGCACAGCAGGTTCTCAGAGGGAGCTCTGCATGGGGGGGGGGGACTGGGGAAGTGGCCCCCAGGGGACGCGAGTGACATCACCGAGGGAGCACCAAGCCCCGAGTGCCCGCTCACCGCTGCGTCGTCTGCCCAGCTGCAGCTGGAGTTACTTCTCGGCAGACCCTCCCCGCGCAGGGCTGTCTCCTCCCTGGTTGGAAGCTTCCCCTGCAAACACCCTGTGTGGCAGAAGCCGCCTGGGACACAGTGAGGGACCAGGTGCAGTCACAGGGTGACAGTGTACCCAGGGCCTAAGGACATCGAGTGTGGTCAGCTGACATCAAGTCACTTGTTAAGTGCAGAAAGGCCTCCATTCCTGAGCAGGGACAGAGGGACAAGGGGCATCGGAACGCAGGCCATCCCTGCTGCGTCCCCACAACGGCAGCCTTGAGCACAGGGTGGCCTGGAGCCCCAGACCTAGGTGACAAGGGAAGAGTGAGTCCTTGTGGACAGCTCGGGAGCCGCAGGGTCCGCGCCTGCCTGCCACCGCCCTGTGGCTGTGTGTCCTGGGAGAATCGGTTGTGTGCAGGTCCCTCTAGCAGGAGGGGAAGAAGTCCATCCACACCCTGGAGGCCCTGAGCCCGACAGCTGTCCCCTGGTTGAGTTTCACCTGCCAGCCACAGCCAGGGGCTGGGGAGGAGAAGGGGCGCAGGGGCCAGGCAGAGCCCCGGTCACCTCGGGAGTTCCCAAGGCATCCAGGACCTGACCTACCTGCTGGTGCCCAAGGCCGCGGGGTCGGACCTTGAGAGTGGCCCTGGGAACTGGGACGCAGGACACCACGGGACAGCGGCCCTCCCCTCCCCTCCCCTCCTCCAGGGTCTCCTCTCCCACCCTGCCACCCCTTCGTCTGCCTTCCCCTCCTGTCTCTCTGAGAAGCAGGAACCTCGCCTCTCCTCCAGTGACCCACGGCCGGGTGTGCGCAGTGCACACTGCTGACTCGGTCTTTCCCAGCCGTGTCCACAGACGTGTTCGGTGCCAAAGGGCCTCGGAGTTTTGTCCTCAGCAGGGGTCCCTTCCGGGCCAGACCCTAGCAATCCCGAGAGCTGTCCAGCTCATGAGAAAGGCCACAGCATCTGGGTGAGACCGCGTCTCCCACATGCCCCTAGAAGGCGCAGCCCAGCCCAAGTCCAGCACCGTCCCCTGCTCCAACACACCCTTCACTTTGCGTCCCTCCAGGGCCGGGGGTGCTGCTCCACGAGGTCATGACCTGGGCTGACCGCAAGCAGGTCCTGGGTGCCTGGGACCCTGGCACGTGAGGGACTAAATAACCGTCGGGGGGCTAAGGGGCAGCGGTGGCCTCTCTCCCCAAGGGACTCTGGTGACAGCCACTATCTTGGGCATCGCCTCTCCTTCCTCCTTTCAAGTAGGACAGACACCCAAGGTGCCCGCTGCATGTATAGGGCAGCGGCAGGTGCCTGCACCACCCAAGGTCCTGCCACACACAGGATGGCACTGTGCTCTTAGAGGGGGCACTGGTGTCCCTGTGTCTCTCCCTAAACCTGTCCCCAGCAGACAGCACCTGTTGCCTCTCAACCTCAAATGGGGGCGATCAAAACGGGCCAGCTTCTGGGCAGTGACTTTGTCAAGGGAACTTCACCCAGGTATGGCGCCCATGCAGCCCACTGACGCCCTGTCCCTGTGTCCCAGCCCCAGCCCTTTGGGTGGATTCTGCAAGCCTGAGCAGAATCCCAGGCTGCTGGCCTGCATGGAGGAGTGGATTTCTTTCCCCGACGGAGAACAGAGAAGACAGTTTCCCTCCGTGGACATCACGACCCCTGCCTATGGAAAAGACCAAAGAGCCCGTCCTCTGGGGACCAGGAACTGCTCCCTGTAAGCCCATGAGCCTGTCTGCTGTCCCCAGGCAGCCAGCAGCTCTGGGATGAGCTGGTTCCAGGCCAGAGCATATTTCAGGACGCCATGGACAAGTGGAAGGTGCCGACCGTGCACTTCCTCCAACAACGAACAGGGCCATGGAGGTACATGGTGTCAGTCGGCACCTGTGAGCGTGGGGACGGTGAGCAGGCGCTGTGTCCCATGGAGAGCACCAGGGCCAGGAGAGGGTCACTGACGGCTGGGTCCACACAGCCCCATTCCCACCCCTTCAGCCAACCCAGAGGCGGCTCCTCCAGCAGGGTCGGGCTTAGGGTCTCCATGCCACTTCCTTCCTGTCCCCCTTCTGTGCATGGACTCTTCCCACCGACTGAACCCCAACAGCTCAATCCAGGAATGTGTACCTAGTCTGCTACTGCTGGACCGTTGAGCAGGATGGAAAAAATCCCCCCTCCCCCCTCTCCCACCCTAGAAAGTAGAAACCCCTGGTCTCCCAAGGTCAGGTGGGCTCTGGATTCGGGCAGGGCTTTCCAGCACCAGTGTCACGAAGGCCAAGGCCTGAAAAATCCTTTGTCCGTCAGAGCACGCTTCGCTCCTCCAGGTAATACAGCCTTCTTTCCACGGCCTTTTCAACCCACAAAACATCCTAGGTTAAAATAAAACAAAACAAACGGAACAAAACTCTTAGCTGGGTATGGTGGTCCATGGCCTATCATCCCAGAACTCTGAGAGGCTGAAGCAGGAGGATTGCAAGTCGCTGAGTGCAAAAGTCCTGGGTTCAATCTCCAGTACTACAAACAAACAAACAACCTCTCACCAGGTGTGCTTCTGCCTCTTAGGGAAAACTCAAGCCCTGTTTGTTGGTGTTGAGCTACGTGGGAGAGACCTCTCCTGCCATCTGCCACCAATGGCCACCCAGCAACAACAGGACCTGCCGGCATGGGGAGAATTCATTGGCTGGGGCCCTTGGGAGCCTTTAGGCCCCCAATCCCGGCTTCCTGCAGAATTAGTAAGGAGTGCCTCCCTGACGCAGGGGCAGAGTAACACGCAGGGGCTGCAGGGCGGAGCAGCCACAGGGACTGTCCCCAGCCCCACAAAGCCCTGCTGTCTCCCACGCCGTGCTGGGCGGGTGCGGGAGAAGTGGGCCCTTGTTCTGTGATTGTGCAAACATCAAATGCCACACAGATCACTCAGCGACCATTGGACTCCCTGGGAGTTAACGCACTATAAACATAACCTCAAATAAACAGAAATGGGTCCTCTTGGGCTCCAGAGCTCCAGGCAGGGCCACGGTGTCTCGCCTCTGCTTTCTTCACTCCCAGCCACCCGGGCCAGCCAGAAGGCTCCTCCTCTGGGCCTGGGGCTGGCAAGGTGGCCATGGCACCACGAGGGCCCACACAAGCGCAGGGGGCTCAGGTGGACCCGGCGTCGCTCCTGTCTCTTCTGTACCCGCTGATTCCTCCTGCCAGGCCCTTCAGCCTGGCCCTCATGTCCACCAGCTCCTGTGGGGACAGCCAAGCACACCCCCCCATCCCTGCTCCAGTCACTCCACCCACAGGGTCATCATCTAACCACACAGTGCCAGGGTGCAGCGGGTATCTGCAGACCCCTCCCTGCCCCGGGGACACGCAGGGCGTGGGTGCCCTCACTGCCCTGCGAGGGAGTCTTGAGGAGTCTGGAGGGAAGAAAGCTGCCTGGCATGAAGGCCAGCCTTAGGGGACAGGGTGGCGGCGACTTTCTGGGCGTCTGGGCTTTTTTCTCCCTGGGGATAGTACTTCCTGCTCCTCAGCACCTTATAGAACAGGACGGGAGGGGCTGCTAGGAGTCCAGGGAAGTGAGGAACGGACCCTGCTCCTGCGGGGTCTCAGCGCCCCCAGCCGGGAGTAGGCAGGGGACAGACACAGCCCGGCCTCCTCGCTCCCTGAGAACAGCACTGTTCAAATGCTCTCCTCAGCTCTTGAACAGTTTCCGCTGCCGAAAAACCAAAGCAA